TACTCCTACACTACACCGGTACTTATCAGAAGTACACTTTATATGATCGATTACAGGTCAAAAGCGTTTTCATTCTTATCTTAACTACTGGAGAACACAATGGCGTGCTCCCCCCCCCCCTTCCCCTTCAGCTGGATTTTCACCAAAATAATTTCGTCTACCAAAAATAAGGCAAATTAACTAGAGCGCTTTCATTTGGACGCCAGCCAAATCAAAGTCTCTGCAACTTCGATGACGTATTCGTCAGCGTCCACCGGTGCAATTCAATAGAATCATATCTAATTCCCTCAGTATTATTCCCTGGTATAGGGTAGCCTTGAATGCACTAAGTCATCGGAAATGATCTATCCGTTCTGGACTCATTTTGCTCAGTACCTTGCAAGGAACGTACACCTTGACCAGATTCACGAAACACCCATTTTGGCTACAACTCAGCGTACTACTTATTTTGGTCCTTCAAATAATCATGTTGGTTTCCCGAGCCGAATAGTAGTTGTAATTAAGACGAATGGACGACTCGAGACGGGTTGCAGAGTGTCACTGCATTATTTCTGGCTAATTAGTACAGAACCGAGAATTGCGTTTTCGTTTGTCGCTCGTAGTGAGGGTGAGTCACGTCAAGGAAGTCGAGCGAAATTAATTAAGTAATGCAAGCTGTGGGTGTAACCTACACGACTTTTCCAGTACTTGGTCCTATCTTTATTGCAACCGATTTGGAAGTATACCTGACATTACCCATAGAGCATTACTAGCGGGAGTAGGGGAAGGGGGAGCAATCAAAACATTGTAAGTCCTAACACCTCCGCAAATTTTCTTACAGAATTCAACTTCTCGTGTGAATCTTTCCGGAAAATCCTTGTCCCTTGAAGGCTACGTAGTTCAGGGGTAGGTAAATGGGGTAATACTTTCAGTGCGTAGGACAGTGGCTATAAAAGTACCGATCCGCCGCGTATGGTTCCAAAGTCGGGCCATGGCCGACCTTACCGAAGGTTTTAATTGTAATTTCAGTTTTTTTAATGGGTTTTTTGTTAGTATTGTGCTGCCCTGAGCCTCATCAGGACCTAAATGTTGTTTAACACAGAGAGGCACCAAAACTTTATTCCAAAAAAATCACAAAATTTCAAAAAAAAGCGAATACTGAGATTTTTGCGAAATTTTGGGATTTTTTTGAAATAAAATTCCGTGTTTCTTTGTGTTATAAATATTCAGCAATTTTTTTGCTTCTGCTTTCAGTCCACTATGCACCTTCACGTTTATACTGACGCTGTTACATACACTGCGAGATCTGGCATAATCTTAAGTTCCACTACGAATTTTCCATCAATTGAATCTGGCACTATTTACCCTTTACTGCCCCACTCCTCGAGAACTGAGCCGGGTTTTTATCGAAATTGGTCAATGACTGTGGATTTGGCTAGAAACTTGCCTTAAGGGGTAATTTGACCCGTAGAACACGAATATCATATTCGGTTTAGCGCGAAAACGCTTGGCGCCGCGCCAGAAGCGCCGGCGCCAAAAGGCGCCAGAACATCTCGGACCCCCAAACTCGCTGGAAAGTTGTCCTCAGAGGTATTTTGACCCGTAGAACATGAATATCATATCGGTTCGTTACGAGTGAGTCTGTAGCTTGTGCTACGAGCACCCGCGCACATCGGTTGTGATGGCGGGCGCCAAGCGTTTTCGCGCTAAACCGGTATGATATTCGTGTTCTACGGGTCAAATTACCCCTTAAGGCAAGTTTCTAGCCAAATCCACAGTCATTGACCAATTTCGATAAAAACCCGGCTCAGTTCTCGGGGAGTGGGGCAGTAAAGGGTAAATAGTGCCGGGTTTCCGTGTGTGATATACAGATTCGTCCATAGGCCTTTTTCAAAAACATCCCCAGATTCAAGTTTTTGGGAAATTTGTAGGTGGAACTAAGATTATGCGTCGCAGTGTACCTTTTACCCTAAAGATGCTTCAACATGAAGCCTATTTTTTATTACCCCATTTGGAAAAGCACCGCAAGTGTTATCAGAAATGACGCCCAGTGAGCCGGATACGACCTCTTCTATTGAAGAATCTCCGATGTTAGCATACCCTAAGGGGACGAAAAGGTTAAAATAGCGACGCAGGACCAGGGTACCTCCTTTTTAAGAAATGTATTTGTTAATGTTCCAAAACAATCGATGTGGTATGCTTTCAGATCGTGTAGCGTGTCGCCAAATATTCAAACAAAATCTTCTGACGTCGCTTCAGAATCACAGACGTCAGCACAATCTCGTCACCGTTCAGTATGTCGGAGTAAAACGAGGTACTTTTTTTTGAGATGCATGCGTCACTTATAATTTTATAATACTTCTCAATATTGGCAGAACTTTCGCTCAAGAAGCGAAGAAACTTCGGTAGCTAGCTATCTTTTGCACATCATATTATTTTGTCTGTACCAATATGAGCTTCATATTTTCCCGAATGACTATCGAAATGTTGAAAAATGAGTGGGAATTGTAAATGGTTCGACTCTCAATGATAAGAAACTTTTGCGTTTCTTGAAACCCTTGTTTATACAAACCTGGGGATTTTTGAATGAAAACTTTTCCCAAGATGGGAACTCAAAATTCAAATTGTTCAAAAAACGATAATCATGAAATTACTGCTTTCATCAAGCAACATTAGGCGCTCATGTATTATAGTAAGGAGGGGCATTGCACTGCAGAGATTCAAAGGCATTTGAAACCACAACAAATTTAAACTTTCATTATAAAGGTTGAGAAGAACCTGAAGTGCTCACCTTTTGCGCTTTTCGTACATAGGATCTCTTCACCCAGCACGGCCCTTCAACAATTGGGAATACCGCATTAGCACAACCCATTCTGTTCCCTTACAACATGAGCGCCTACCCTTTCATCTCTTTTGCTAACCGTGAGACTTCTCAAGTGAATGAACCCCATTTCATGTGCCCTTTATAATATGCCACAAAACTTCGAGAGAATGGTCCACTTTTCAAACGATCTCTGTGGTCAGGCCTATTGTGCTAATATTGTATATTGAGTATCTTCGTTTTTGAAATCTCTTGAGGACTCTTGATGTAAGATTTATTGGTTAGCTTTCGCTGTGATAACAGCTTCTTCAGACCTACAAGACATCAAGCATATTACAATACTTCAAACCTAGGAGACATCAACATAATAAACATCAGAGAGAGGCCATGGAGGCTATGAGACTTCTGAGTTAACGGTGGATCGACCATGAGTAACGCGTGTGATAATAGCAGTACTATGAAATGGTCACGTACTCATTCCCAGTGATTTTTATTTTATTAGCAACTGCACTAGAGTGAGGTGATCATCGTTTCGTTGTTGTCCTGGTTTGTACAATAGTCTGATGTGGTCTTGAATTGTGCTTTGCAGAGTATCCCATTAGCGAGAGCATCGGCCTGGTCAGTTAATGTTTATTATGTTGATGTCTCCTAGGTTTGAAGTATTGTAATATGCTTGATGTCTTGTAGGTCTGAAGAAGCTGTTATCACAGCGAAACACAATTTATAAGGCTCAAGGATAGCTCCATAATATTGTATATTGAATTAAATTAATGGTAATATTTGACTTATTCTTGTTGTTACTGCTGCTGTTCTTGGCCACCGACCTTACAAATCTTTTACAAGATTGCTGATTTGTGAACAAAACTTTCGCCCCAGACGGGACTCGAACCCGCACCTCTTACATACGGGGCAAGTGCGCTACAAGTTACGCTACCTCTTGAGTTGTGATGAAATGGTGCCCCGGTAGCGTAACTTGTAGCGCACTTCCCGCTAGGCAAGAGGTGCGGATTCGATAATAATATTATCTGGTATGCTTTGTAAGAGATCGTAAACACGTCTAATTGCCAATGGCGCCCTTTGCAGTGCCGGTGCAGCTGTCGGAGATAGGGACGGTTGATGAGATGTACTCGAAAAACGTCGCATCCGGCCATCTGCCAGTCTGCAAGCCAAGCTCTCAACAGAAGACCGACTGCTGAGAAAAGAGCTCAAGCAAAGAAGAGTCTCATACAGGTGTCGTATTTGAAAAATTAAAGGAATCTTCCACGGACCATGGACCAGTGGGCGGGACCGGAAGTTTTTGTGACGAAATGCATGGTAGGTACGGATCCACGTGTCGAACGCACGAACGTGAACAGGATTCACTTCAAACCTTCCCATGAACGTGGATCCGTACCTACCATGCATTTCGTCGCAAAACCACTTCCGGTCCCGCCCACTGGTCCATGGTCCGTGGAAGACTCCTTTAATTGAAATATAAGAAGCAAAAAATGGACTGGAACGCACTCTTGCCTAACTTGCAGTTTTGCGCCGTGAGAGTGGTGTGGAGTTAGCAGGTGTCACTCAATATCGCGTTATTGGTAGCGCTAGAGTGCATCCCTTCAGGCTATCTAACACTAAGGATAAGATAATATTAGGTTGGTCCATAAGTCTTGCAATAAAGTGGCTGAATTCGATTTTAAATTAGTTTTAGTAGCCGGCGTGTGCCATTCATCCAGTATGATACAATCAATACAATCACCAATATCTACAACCTATTGTCAACGCACTAGAACAGAGGCACTGATCGATGCCTCTCTTGTAGAAGCCCACTGAGTTCTGATCGAAGATAGATCAGATGTCGATTTGACATCATGATGGAAAGGATGATATTTCTCTTCTCTAGTACGTGATCTGGAGAAGGAAGGAGGTAAGCATCCTTTGGCACGAGGTGAGGGCTATAAGGTGGATACGGAAGAAGTCTCCGTCCGAAAGTCACAAAATTTTCCTGGATTTTCTTATTGTTAGCAGGAGGTTGTTCAGCAGTGACATGAAAAAGCAAACTTTGTTTTGCTTTTCTTTCGTATTGAAAGTGTTACAATCTAGCTGCGGACGGTTGACGTGCGCTTTAAGTGCGACATCAACACGAAGGGGCTCCAGTTCTCAGCTCCTCTCGCATTCCCCAAAAATTCGAGAAGGCCTTGCGCGGTTGAACTTTAGCAGTAAGAACTTTCCGACTTCCGAAGCGTTCAAGCTGGACTATCGCCTATTGTTTATTTGTTAGCACACTATACTGTCTCCTGTCTAGTCATCGCCGAGAAATATGATGGGTGGTCACTCGAAGAACCCATCTTTGACACCAACCCACCTTTGACCTTATCGTGGAATCCTCCTTTAACTACACCCATGAAGCGCACGAATGACGCCGACAAAAAAGTAGAAATTTAAAGTTAAGTGACTTGGCGTGAAACGCTTCCAACTGCTTTTGCTGCTGACTCATAGGCGAAATGTTGCATTTATCAATGAATTGGAATTTAATTCCACTTACCGAGTCATAGTTAGCCTCCTGCTTGTAGACAATTTTGCACCATATTTGATCACAGGCAAGAAAGCAAACTATGCCACTCGATAAGAATGCATTTCTGCGATGAAAATGGAGCAGTATTGATGACGATATCGCAATGGTCAATATCTGCGTTTGGAGACGCGGTGATTTTGTAGGCGGGATTTTGGAGGGGGCAATTTTCAGGCCTGAGGCCTAACTGTGTTGCTACCAAGAAACCTTCTGCGGGGAAGGGCACACCCTCCCCCCTCCTTCCTCAGCGCCTAGTTAGCGCCCACTGATTCATATACTACTTTCATGGTCACACCTGACCATACTCAGTGCATTCAATGTGAATTGATTGAATAGCACATCTCCTCATCGAGGAAGCACGAAGTGAATGAAGACCTGTTGCAGAAATACAATCTTGAACATGGATACGATGAACATTTACACCACTCCGAGGACCGAAGAAGGAGCATTAGCCTTGGACCGGACCAATGGCGTGATCAGATTACAGGATCGGCGGAAAAGTCAGGAATTTTTAACCAATGCTCGAGTCTTTCTTCTAGTAGCTCACAATATTTCAGACAGAAAAAGGATGGTGCTTTCCAAAAAATGAAGAGAAAGTTCAGTAAATGGAAATTGTCGGGACGTACGGAGTAATGGCTTCTTTTCTGGTGTTAACAATACTAGTTACTACTACAAATGCTTGTTGAGCTCACCTCCTGGTGTAGGAGCATCTCGTGAAATTATCCTGCGTCTTGTTCAACAGTTCCTTTTTATTCACAGACTTTCTCCATGATTCAAACGTTTGTAAGCATTTCTTCGTGGTGAATCGCTTTAATATTTTCTGTGCTTGTACAGTATAAATTTTTTGCACCTGTTTTCGTCTCGCTGTAAATCGTCTAGATTGCGTTAATGGATTTTAGTGATCCAAGACTCATTCGAAGCTGTATCCTATAAAGGCTGTATAACACTACATTGTCTGATTGTTTTTGCTTGTGCAACACCAAGTAACCCTTAGCGCTACAATAACTGAATCTTTTGGATCGTTATATGCAACACTAGCACCACATTTTAGTACACAACAACTAAATGATCGTATATGACAAGAGATCTCGATTGCGGCCGAGTGCCACAACTGTGTACCCTCGCCTTCAAATGACCAGAAATTGTGCAATTGCAGAAATTGACGTGGCATTAACGTGGCATCGATTCAAGAACATCTTTGAGCACACGTGATGTCACCTTTTCATCGAGAATTTAGCCACGTGGCACAAGTGGCTGAATTCTCGATGCGTCGAGGCCACGTTAATGCTACGTTAGTTTCTGCAATTGCACAATTTCTGGTTATTCGAAGGCGAGGGTAGGTCATCGCATGCGTGGCATCGCGACGACTCACGTCCTCCGCGTGTAACACCACATACTCTCCCACCGACAGCGATCAAGTGTCACATTGGAGAAATCTCGAAATC